AACAGACGGGAACGCAGGCCCAACGAATACAAATGTCAAAGGCACGCAGGCCCGCTATCCTAGTCAGGTTTCCCCAGAACCATCATTGTCGACGACGGGAGAGTCGGGCGGAGGAACGATCACGCCATCCATGATCTGATGTGTGTGGCCGATACCCTCAGTGACCAGACCAGGGTTTAGCAAGGAGAGCTGACCGATTGCGGAGTCGAACCCATCCTCCAGAGCACTGACGCAATCTGCCTTGAGGAGCCGGATATGGGCGACCAGCTCCGATCGACTCTTCAAAGCCGCTATGTCCTCCGGCTCGTCCTCGGCAGGTTGCATGGCAGCGTTCATTTCCTCGATCTGCTGGGCCAAGCGTCCGACTTTGGCCCCCAGACGATCCCTGTCTGCCCGGAGAAGCTCCCCCTCCTCGGCCAACTTCCCCGACTTTTCCTTCTCCAGGGTCAACATCTCCCTCTCAGCATCCAGCATCGCCGTCTGCTCGCGGAACATCTCCTCGGAGCGTTCCAGAGCGGTCTTCAACTTCCGCGAGCTCGAGGTAAGGGACGCTTTCTCCTGCTCGAGTTCTTCGATACGGACAGGATCCCCCCCTTCCTCGGATAGCACCAGGGCCATCTCGGCCATTTTCACCAGCCCGTCCATGCTGGCGGCCAGATACATCTTCCGATCCTCTTTACTCATCCTTTTTATAGCTTCAACCTCGTCGGCAACCACTGTCAGAGGGAATCTCTCGAAGAAGCCCTCCTCTTTGAAGCAAGGGGGGAACGCGAAAGACCTAATGGCACTGGCGTCCTCGCCAACAGTCGGACCACTTTCCACACGGGTCCTCTTCCTCTGCATCAGGACGGCACTAGGGTCGACCTCTTCAACTTCTGGGGTCCCATCCGACGCGGCCCCCGAGCTTGGCGGCGAGTCCACCCTCACCGGCTGAGGAGCACTTGGACTGTGTGGCGGGCCCATCCTCATCGCCTGTGGGGCCTTCACGACCCTCCTGTCTCGCTTCTGGTCGCAAGACAATTTCAAAAGCCTTTCATGTCGACCGGCCATCAAACCTGCACAAAATAAAAGATGGGTTAGTATCGAGCAAGCTCATAAATAAATAACGAGCAAAGAAATTCAAGCAATAAACAACCTAGTAGACGGGCAGCCTTCCTGTACGTCTGGCACTCCACGAGTGCCTTGGTATCAATCGGCCGAGACTCAAACGTTGGGTAACCCTCTGCGTCCAGGATATCGTCCCCTTCCCTCGTAGCCCACCGAGCAGGGTGGAAGCTATCGACAAACCGGCAAAGTGTGGCGTACGCCTCCTCGTCTTCCGAGCACATGTCCCCGGCAGCAGTGTGGTAGTAACCGGTCCCATGCTCGTAGTGCCTGAATATCTAGTGCACAGGGAACTTAGCCGTACGGGCCATCACAGGACTCCCATCGTCGCCCAAAACCGCCTCCCCGTCATCATCTCTTAGGGGCTCCTCCTCCTCGTACATGGATCCTAAAGCCGAGGTGGTAACTGGCCGCACAACGTACCACTTGTCTTTGAAACCCCTTACGGAATCCATATACATTTTAAAGAGTCTCCTCGACTGCTTCAAGGAGACCCAGCTATGTTTCCCGCCTCGAGACTGGCGCTGCAGATGAAAAATCCGGAAGAAGAGCGGTATGGTCGCCCCGATCCTCAGATAGCGACACGTCAGCTCAAACGCCCGGATGAAGGCGAGTGAGTTTGGATGTAGCTGGGACGGGGCCAACTCCAGGTGAGTGAAGACCCCGACCTGGAAATCAGTGAAGGGCAGCTGCAGCCCTAGATCTTTGAACGCGATCTCGTACATCGCGAAGCTATATTCCGGATAAACCGAGCAGATCCTTGAACGGGAGGACGGGCGCATGACTACGAAGTTCTTTTGGAAGTCGGGCTGGCCCTGGCCCGCTTCGATGACAGCATATGGATTTCGGTCGCCCCGGCTGTAGATCGACGCGATCCCTCGGGGCTCGACGCCCACCCAATCCAGCAAAGGGTCGGTCACAGTATCAATCAAGATGACCGACTCATCGGCACTTTGTTCTTCACGATCGTGGCGCCCGGAGGAGCTCGGCTCGTCCGCCATGGTTACCTGCAGAGCACGGGAAACCAGTCAATTGGGCACGAAGCCATACGCTCGACAAATCACGTCGTCCCATGCACGACCACATAGTCCGTTTCCACGAATGGTTGCCTCCCTGACATCCTGAAACTCGATGTGTTCTTCCTCAAACCAACTACGCGGTCACTCTCCAACATGTCGACCCAAGGTATGAACATGGCGAGCCACACCATGAGGCCCACGGCCAAGACCATGAACATACCGGGCGCGATCATGAATCAGGCGCCCTGGATCATGAAGACCCCGGGCAGCGCTGAAGTTTATCACCTAAAACTATGAATATGCCGACCACAAACATGCATTTGCCGGTCCTAGGCATGAATATGTCGGGCTAAGTATGAGTTTATCGGGCTAATCCCACGCGCACAGTCCCTAAAACATCTACAAACGCCAAAAATCATGCATTTTAACAGGAAAATGAAGAAGATAAACCACTTACTTGAATCAAAAAGTAGGATTCGGCTACGGAGTAGAAGAATCTGTGACAGAAGATTGCGATTGGGAAAAATCTGGAAGAGCAACAGCAGAGAGAGCACAAAGAGTAGAAACGTGTTATGGGGCCCAAGGTTCCTATTTATAGTGATGACGTGGAATACCAAACGTCACCTCGGGCAACCACGGAGTCTCTCTCCCCGACGCGCTGCTCCCAACGCAATGCTGACCCTATCCCCATAGGATGGCGACACAGTTCCCGAAAGATATCTCGTATGCTCGTCAGACGCGCCCCGGTGAGGATCCTCCAGGCATCCACCGCGGAAGATGTCTCCGAGCACGGCACGAGGAGGCCCTCGAGGGCCTACACCTCTGTCCCGGGCACGAGACCTCGATGAGGAAACGACCTGAGTTCAAGCCATGGCTCCTCACAAAGGAACCACGACTTGGGGGGCCCCTGTTCTGGACTGGGCCCGACAGGCCCAAAAGCATTGCAAAGGCCCAGTCCAAATGGACTTACAAGGGCCACGCCGACCAAAGAGTACGACCGTGCCCGACGCGTAGTCGCTGGCTCGACAGTACATCTCCAGCTCGACATGCTGTGGTCCAGCGCCACATTCTGAGGTCCAGCTCGACGTTACCTCGAGCACCCCAGCTAGGGCAGACTCAGTCCACTGTTCCCCCAACGATACTCCGAAAAGACCGCGTCTCCGTCCGCCCGCACTTCACGCAGAACATCCAGGAAGGGGACCACATGCGGGTCCCCACTACGCACGTAGAACCTGACAGTCCCTCCATTGGGCCAAACCTGCCCGGCCCAACGAAGGAACCTTGGCCCAGCGCTGGGGGCTATAAATACCCTCTGTTTCCAGAGGGTCAGGTATTCATCATTCTAACCTTACACTTGCTATTATCTGCCCGTACTCCTACTTACTTCAGCATCGGAGTGCCTTGCAGGTACCCCCACTTCGTTCAAAAAGCTTTCTGCTCAGAGCCAACCGTGACGGTCCATTTCTGATCAGGTCAGATCAATTATATATAAACATTTATTATTATAACATTAAATCTAAGTTGTTCTTCTAAACATCGAGACACATTGTTTGACATAATAGATGATTCATGGTACATTTCAAGTACTAACCTTAAACCTTTCCTTATCCACCTTAAGAATGGATCAATTATATTCTACGCATTAACTATAAACCAAATATTTCTCTTATCTACTTTTTAAATTGAAGAGTTATAGTTATATATCTTGTTCATCTAAATATAAACATGTTCACACGTGCTTTAAAATTAATTTGTATAAATATTAATATATAATCTTCATCTTCTTATTTAAGGTTTGCTTCCGCCCACCAATAAATATCTTATTTAACATGAGTTTTCTTCTATGAAATAAAAAGAGATTTATATCCTCTTCTTTATTTTTCTCTCCTTTTCTCTTCATTCTCTCTATCTCTCTTAATTTTACTCTAATTCATTAAAAAAAATAGAGAAGAAAAAAAAATAGAGAAAAGAGAAATGAAGAAGATGGAGAAGAAATGAAAGAAAAACGAAGAAGATGATCCAAAGTGAACGAAAAGAAATTTCTCTCCTATTTTAAATGGTATTTTTTATTAAAAAAATGTAAAATCTGATTAAATTTTTTAAAATAATAATATACTTTTTTATATAAAATAATAAATATTCTAGAAAGTCCTGGTCATATACACACAAGCACTTCACTAGTATTATTATTATTATTATTATTATTAATCAAATCCTGGTCATATACACACAAGCACTTGTGTAATTAAACAAATAAATATAAAACAAGTCCAATTCAATCACGCGTCCTTTGCCAACTCTTGTTTTTCTATATTATCTATATATGTCTCACTCAGTTTGACTCTACACCCGTGCTCTCTAGAAAGCACAAACCCCAAATACCTAAATCCACCCATATGCCTTTTATCATCCACATTTGCGTAATACACTTTTTCATCTATTTTTTACAATCCCAACCGTTTCTACTTCTAGATATTCCCATTAATTAATACCCCCACCACCTATTTACGTCACATACACCCTCTCCTCATTTTCCACTCGCCCTAGATAAACCAACCCATCAACAAAACTTAGACCAATAACAACAAAATTATCTTATTTTGCCTCTGTTTTCGGATCACCTGAGAAAATTTAGCTTATAAAGAAACAAACTAGTAATAAAACTCATTCTTTGCATTTTATTGTAACAAACTTTCCGCGAACTGCTAATTTTCTGTTACAGGTGCCGTTATGGCTCCAAGGGAAGAAAAGGTAGCAGTTATCACAAACACATAGCCTCCTTTATCTTCCGCTTCTTTCTTTAAATAAATAGAGAATTGCACATCAAACTCAGGTATTTTATTTTATTTTAACCGGTTTTGGAGATTAGTCACTGCTATGTCGAGTAAGGTAGTTCTTCTACCGGTGGGATCTTCGAACCGGAGACAACCGCTTTTACAAACGGGAAAAAGTTCGTTAAAGGCCGGGACACGTCTCGGCGAAGCCGTCGGTGGAACGGCCGCCGTGTGTTGCTGCTGTCCATGTGCGCTGGCGAATATTGTTTATTTGGCGATCTACAAAGTTCCGGCGAGTCTTTGTCATAAAGCGTTGAAGAAGAGTAGGCAGCGTCGTCGTCGCCGTCTTCAGTCGACTTCCGGGGAAGGTATGTTGCCGCCGAAGGCACTTAAGCGTCGTTGCACGTGTGGATGTTGTGATGATATTGGCGTTCGGGTGCATCCCATGTGTAGTGATGATGATGAGGATGTGGATGTGGATGTGTATGTGGGGGTGAAAAGTGAAAGTTTGGGGGTGGAGGAAGAAGATAAAGAGGCTATGGAATTGGAGAAAGAGATGTGGGAGACTTTTTATGGAACTGGCTTTTGGAGAAGCTCTTCTCAGAGAAATAAAGATTCTTCATCTTTTTCATCTCCTGAATCTTCTTCATCTCAAAGGGTGTTTTTTAGTGCTTCTTCTCCTAATCTTCAGGTTCTTAAAGTATCAACCATGTAATCATATGAAATGAATTCAAAGGTTCTAGTTAATTATATGAGTTCATTTGTGCAGGGTTGATTTGGAGGAACTTGTGTATGCTTTTTTTTTTATTAGCAATGCAACATGTGGTTTTCCATTTTAAGAGATTGATTAGTTCTTGTTTCTTACCAATCGAAATTATGATTTCGCCATTGCGACCGTCATTACAATTTATAACTATTATTTATGTGTCAAGTGCCTTAAATTTTTGTTTGTTTTGAAGTTTTGATGTTTGTATCATGTTGTTTCTCAAATGAGTTCATGGATTTAAGAAATTTTGCTAAGATTTGTTTTTTACTCTGTGAAAAACTGACTATTTTTGACAAAGGGTGTATTAAAGGAAAGAGATCATGAAACAGATTATAGTCTATGTTCTTTTGTTTGGAATCAGATTCTCGACTGCAACTTTTATGAGAGCTGCAAAGATTTGCTGTAGAGGATCTGGTTCTATTTTTTGGATTCGATCCTCAACAAAATTCTGCAGCAACTTTTATGAGAGCTGCAAAGATTTGCGGTAAAGGATCTGGTTCTATTATTTGGATTCAGATCTTAGGCAGCAAAACTTTGCAACTTTGGTTCCACTATTATGAAATGTTTCATAAACAAGTTTCAATTTCAGTCAGTATTATTGCTTGAAGAACAAAAAATATTGATGTTATTTTGTTCAATGTGTAAACTTTAAAATGCAATAAAGAAGTGTGGTTATGGATCCTAGTTGTGGTGAGAGATCAAAAACACTTTTAAGATTCATTTTCTGACAAAGGCTTTTTTTAATTCCTCTACACATACTTGAATGATATCTTTATGGTTGAACTGAAAAATAGTACAGAAGTATAGCAACAGGTCATTTGCTAATCCAAGCTGCTACTATATGTTAGTTAGTTGTTATTAAAACATAGCAGAATACTTGAGTTGAGTCAGTGATTTCAACAGTTTGGGGGAGAATAGGACCTTTCAACTGTCCCCAGACATGGATGTATACCTCAAATCATGTTATACTTTAGTACCAAAAACTTTGTCTTTCTTTAGTGGTCCTGTTTTTATTTATTTTTGACAGAATACTAGTGGTCCTGTCTTATTCTTCATCTCAAGCAACTAGCAAGTCAAATTCTTAGTCCACACAAATGAAATTCATGTGTCTAACATAATTGTGGTTCTTGTGTTTATGCTCCTATTCTATTTACAGTGTTAAATTCTCTTGAGGAAGAGAGTTTTGTCCTTCATTGAGGTCCTCTCTAACTCAAGGGTTTAGTCTTTGCAGTTAGGATACACGGTTTTTGAAGAAAAACTAGTACTTATTTGACTAGCTCATTTCCTACCACAAGCAAATTTGAAGTACATATGTGTATTTGTAATTGTGAGGTGATTTAGAATGATATCCAAAGTGAAGTGAATGTTATGATGGATCTAGTAATATCTAAAGTACAGTGGTCCTCAACATTTGTGAATCCTGAAAATTAACAGTGATGGACCACAAACAAAATTTGAAACACTGAATTCAACACCAGAAATGAAAAGGGAAGATCATAGCAGAAGTAGGGTTGTTTTCTTGGATGTTATCAGAAAATATGAATCTGTTGTATAAGCAATCATAAATTTAGCTTGATGGTGACTATCTACGCCAAAGTTCTTCAGTTTCCCTCCTGTGTGTGGTCTCTGATATTAACTTTAAGCCTTTTTTAGAAAATGGAATGATGTCTCTATTTAATAAATTTTATACAAGTGTTGGGCTAAAGTGATTGAGTCTTTATTAAATAGTAGTCTAACATTAAAAAAATTATTTCTTTTGTCTAATAGTTAGTTCTTGGAATTTATTTCTTTTGTCTGATGTTTCTTTGCACACACAACTTAATACTAATCATGCTCTCGATTTAAATTAAATCTTTAGTTTTATTTACATTTTATTTTGTACGAAGTACTGTAAAATAAAAATTGATTAAACTGTACATTTAACTTATGCAATCTCCTTGACTAATAAATTGGTTGATTAAAAATACAAAATGTTAAATTTAAATAGAGATTTTTTTTTATTATAAATATCATTAAATAGGAGAAATAAGTAAATAATAGAGTGAAGACTAAGTTTGGTCCCTCACATAAATTATAAAATTCAAATTAATCTTTCACAACAAAAGATTTAATTTAATCTCTTATAAAATATAATTTATTTATATTAATATGAATATTTGTTTGAAATCATTTTTTTCTAGTTTTAACCCATGGATATTATTTAATTTTTTCTATTTTTTAATATTAAATTAATTTTTATTTTTAAATAATTCAGATTTAAAAATATAAAAAAAGACTAAAAATAATTCCTAAAAGAAATCAAATCCAAGGATCTTAAAGGCATATATTATATGCTTTTTCATTAAGTTAATATATATATACATTGAGATTTTTGTTGTTGTAATAATTAGGTTTAAAAAAAAATCGCAAATAATCATGTTTCGAAGAAAATTACGCAAATAATCATGTTTCAGAAAATCCCACAAAGAAAGAGTCATCTCATTTGGCGCCTACATATTATTTTAAAGGGGAGGCGCCATCTCACTTGACGCCTAAGTGTTAAAAGTGTGCCCTAATCAAGTGAGATGGCGCCTTAGTGTAAAGGGGAGGCGATTTTTTGTGTTTTTTATTTTAAATGCGGGACGTTATGTAAACGATATAGGATCACAAAAATTTGAATTTTTATTTACACAAAACGATTACATAAAAAATACAATAATCAGTGGTTCTCCGGAACCCGGTAACGATCCGCGGTTCCGCATCTGCGTCCTTGCCTTTTCCGTGGTGGGTTTCGTCGCGTTTCCTATTGTGGCAGGGTCGATGGCTCAGCAAAGTCAATGCGTTCCGCATCCATGAAATCGGTCAGATCTCCATATCTAGAAGATCCGCTTGGTACAGTCGGTTATCCATACCCTCAAAGTTTGGTCGTCTTGGTGGTGGGCGGGGTTCCATGGTTGGCCTATAGCACTGGTCGTCTGAGTAAGGGGGTAGAAAGGAAATGAATCCTGGGGTGTTTGGTATTGGGAATGTTGGGTGCTTTGGTGATGTGGTGGTTGATGGTAAGTTGGGTCGGTTGGGCCATATTCTTCAAAAAATCCCAGATCAGGACTAAGGTTAGATGTTGAGGGGTCCATATTGGGATATGGAAAAGACTGAAATTATGGATGGGGCATGCAAGTGTATTGGTATTGTGATTGAAATTGTGGTTGGGTGTGCGGCATATAGGGGTATTGGTATTGAGGTGGTGATTATGGTTGATTGTGGGGTATATGGGTGTATTCGTATTGTGGTGGTGATTGTGGTTGGGTGGTTGTGGATCTGTTTCATCAGGGAGGTTGGTGGGAGGTTGATGTGTGTTGTGTTTATTGTTAGAGAAATGAGGGTTGTGCTCATTGTGTTCGTGGGTCAACCAAATACCTTAGATGAGACACGTGCATTTCTGGGTTACTAACCGATTTGTACCAAGCTAAATATTGATATGTGTATCGCATATTACCATGGTTGAGGAAAACTGAGAATTGCAAGACATGTTGGTGACGCCTCTGCCACATCTTACACCATTATGGAGAAAAATCTTTCCAGTTGGTAAGGACTTATTGGGCGTCGACCCTTTTGAGATGCCACGAGGACAAACACGTTGGATCGCAAGGTATCTCTTGATGCATTCCAAACTGCATCTTGACACGGTCGCTGTGGTGCATCTCCATAATATTGAATCGTATGATTGTAGTCTTTGCGTTCCAAATTGCTGCATCCTCGGAGTTTGGTTCATGGTCTAAACCCAAATATGGTCTCCAGATAAACTGTGGATAAAATTAAATTAGCTTAATGAAAACGTAATAAATAAATAATTTAAAAGTAGAAAAGTTTAAAGGTATGACGTACATCATCCGGGTCAAGGTGATCTAATAGATTGCGATATAGAGCGACATTGAATCTTGGATTCTTGCCGTAATCCATACCCATCACGCAGTACCTAAAGGAATTGAAAAATAGTTTATTTTTATCATATATTTGGTGAACATATGAATAATAAATGATATAAGTTATTGACTTAATTTATTGCGTATGGGAAAACGAATGCGTTGTTGTTGACGGGGTTTAAGGACTTCATTATCCACCAACCCCAGGCTTGAAGTAAGAAAGTGCATCTATAAAAAGTATATTTTTCCTTGGTTGCATTTTTACACAAGGAACTGTATAGATGGGCTAAAACAGCAGAACCTCAATTATACTTTCTAGTTTTTTCAAAGTTTCTAAGTAAATTTAAATATATGAAATTTACACTATTCTCCGTACTTTCGGAAATAAAAAGGTTTCAAAAAATATCATTATATAATTTCTAGCTTTTATTACCTTAGCTAGTTCGGAGGAATTTTCGTTCAACTCCAAAGTCGCATAATGATTTTTGAGTTTAGTAAGTAGTATACCCTGGCCTCTAGCACCACCACCTTCAACCAATAATTCCTCGCATAGCGAATTGGGCTGTTGAACCGACCTGTTAACCGCCTTACCATCGACAGGGAGATCCAATAACATGTACACGTGCTCTAGTGTGACGGTACATTCACCTATTGGTAGATGAAATGTGTGGGTCTCTGGTCTTCACCTTTCCAATATTGCAAGTATGAAATTTGAATCAATCGTGCAGTTGGAGATCTTTATAACATTTCTGAAACATGCGTATTCGAGATAGGGCACGATCAACGGGTCAGAAGCAAGGTAGTTGTGTGACCGGATTCTGAATCTTTTAGTATCCTAAATTCAAAATATAAAAAGTGTAAGAGTCCATAAGATGTATAAATCATTAATAGAAGAATAAAAAATGTATAAGTATACAAGAAACTTACAAACGCTACAATGTTGTCCCTTGTGCCTCTGTGAGAATCGCCCATTGTGAGAAGAGCCATAGTTGAAATTGTCTGAGATTATAAAAGAGTTTGTAGCAGAGATTGAGATGATTGTTGATGCAAAATAAGTGTGTAAGGCTATGTATTTATAGGCAAAATTTTATCACAGAGTGAATAAAT